CCCCAAAACCCCAAAACCCCAAAACCCCAATAGGAAGGATATCGTGAAATGTGGATATTTTGAAAAAGTTGTGATTCTTGATTAATTATTATAAAATGCTGTGTTTGATAATTAACTCAGTTCAATTGATATCAATGAGTTAATACTGTTAGTATTGATATGAATTCGCCAACGTGAGTTCATTCCATTGCGATCTCGGCCATATCATCAGCAGATGATCTTGGGGCATAGATCTTGACTTCACCATTGTTGAGTTGGACGTTGATATTGTTGTTTTGAACAGTTTGACAATCTCCTTGGTTGAAAATGTTACACAAGGTCATTCCATTGTTGATTCCAAGATTTGGGACATTTCTGTTAACTCCGTTGTCTGGTTTGTTGGTCAAGGCGACAACAACATTACCTCTTGTGAAGGCGTAGAAATCATCATCAGCCCACTTCTCAGCGAAAGCAGAGGATGGCATGTTATAGGTCTTTCTAGCACTCATAATTCTTTGGACAAACTTGAAGATATCATGATCTTTGTTGAAGTTAGACCAGATTGGTTCTCTGTTGTTTGGGTCATTTCCACCTGCAAATCCTTATTCGCTTCCGTAATACATGAAAGGGATACCTTTACCAGTGAGTGAAAAGGCGAGGGCACTCTTGAAGAGTCTTTGATCATTTCTGCCGTTTAAGAATCTAGAGTTGTCGTGGTTATCCACAAAGAGTCCGAGGGCATCGACGTCTTTGAACTTGCCTTGCTCCTCAACATATCTGCTTGAAATTCCTCTCATTGACTTTTGAGATTAGAAAGTGTCCTTGATTGTGTAATACATAGGGTAGTTGAATAATCCAGTGACATGATTCTGGTAATCACCGACGTAAGCTGGATTTCCGTTAAAGCACTCTCCCATTTGGAAGACGCCAGCGGATTGTCCGAACTCAGACCAGAAGTCCTTTGGTACTTCTGGGATGGTGTCGATTCTGATTCCGTCAAAGTTGTATGTTTGAACTAGATTTTTAATCCAATCCTTAAGTTATTGTCTAACCCACCCATTTTCTTATTTCAAGTCTGGAAGACCTGAAAGTCTGCAGTTCTCAACCTGCCATTGATTATTCCAGTCATTAATATCGCAGTTGCTGTGATAGTGATCTCCTGAATTGTATGGAGAAATTTGTCCGAAATCGTTACCGATTGGGGCTACATGATTCGCTACGACATCCACCATCACCCAAATATCCATTGAGTGAGCAGTCTCAACCAATTACTTAAGTGAATCTGAATTTCCAAAATGACTGTTGATTTGATTCCAGTTTCTAGCCCAATAGCCGTGATAGCCACCATCAAGATTATCAACTACTGGAGAGATCCAGATAGCGTCAAATCCTAGATCCTTGATATATTATAGATTTTTTCTGACTCCTTCAAAATCTCCACCACAATAGTTGGAAAGATTGCACCCTGAAGTATCGCCATTTGACTTTGCAAATCTGTCAGTCAAAAGCTGATAGACTGCTCTCTTTTTCCAAGCGGCAGCGTCACCAGCTCTGGAGCCAGCCATGAGAAGAGCACAAACAAGTGCTGTGTACATTGAAATTTTCATATTAAGTAACTATATTATAGGTTAGAACAATAGTATTATTATTTTAAATCTTTTCCATAATTTAAAGTGAGACAAGTAAAATTTAGATTGTTTCAATGAGTTAGATATAATTCTCAAATAAGATTACTCAAGAATTATGTATTTTGCAATTTTACAATTTAGCTTGAAATATCAAGAACGGGGTTTTGGGGTTTTGGGGTTTTGGGG